CTATACATTTCATTAATTTTACATTCCATATAACATTCCAAAATTTTACTTCCTTCTCCCTCTTCCTGCAGTTCCTTAAATTTATTTTTTCATATATTCTGCATATCCAAATTCATTTAATTTACTCTTTTAATTATCTACTGTAAATATATACTCTTATACAACTGCAGGTTATTACAATAATCCTGCTAATGTTTTAATCTGTTTACAATTTATCTGTAAATATTCAATAAACCATTACCATTCTTTTATAAAGAGTTTGTTATCTTGATTTCTTATTCTTCTGGTAGGTTTTGCAATTTCTGCAAATTCCATAAGTTTTTGTATCCATTCTTCCATTACTGGACTTCTGCTTCTTTCCATTTTGGGGCAAGTAACATTTTTGCTGCTGTAGTACAGAAATGTACAGAAATACATTTCTATTTAGGGAATTCAGTTCCTATAATTCCCAAAAGGAAAGCTTCTGGTTTTTTAAATAAAAGTTATTTTCCAATTCATTATATATCATTTCAGTAAACTTTAACTTTACTATAAGACCACCATATATGATAAATATTTGTTTGAATATGATTTACAGGTATACATTTTTTGCCAATTTACTTGGTGTTAGATACCGATACATCATTTTCATATACTTTTCTCTTAGACCATAACATGCTATAAATTTTATATTCAAATTCCACAATCATTCCAATAATAATAATAATAATAATAATAATAAATTTTATTTATATCCCGCCCTCCCCAGCCAAAGCCGGGCTCAGAGCGGCTAACATCAAGTGTATAATACATTCACATAAAATCAGACAATCAATTAAAATACATCCTCAAATCAGATAAGGATCAGAATAAAATCCAATCGGATGGCAGCCCACAGATTAGGGTTGGTGACCTTAAATGCTCACCAGGCCCAACTGTTTGTACTGAACTTATATGGGCCTGTGAGAAAAATTGGAAAAATTCCATAACTATATTATGACCAATATCTATCACCCAGTGTATCATTAAAGATTCTACTTGCTCACCCTTTGTCTCCCATTCCAATAATATTTTATACATTTTAGACAAGAAGTTTACATTACATTCCAACAGGTCTCTCTCCGATTGTGATTTGTTCCCCAAACAAAGAGGTTTCTGTGTGCAATGGCTGAGATGGAGAATACAGAGCCTGTGTAGAGAACATCTTCATAAATTGCCTTTAAGCTGGCCGGCGAGCAGTCTTTAGCTGGGAACTTCCTGGCGAAGGAACTGAAGGTAATGGAAGCTCCCGTCCTGCCCCCGTCTATGGGTAGATCGCCTGTCCCCCTTTCTCAAGTTTCTCCGCCTGGCCACGGAGAAGGGGAGCGGAATGGGTGGAATTGCAGAGCGAGTGAGGTGGCCGGGCTCGGCCTCCCTTCCTGTGGGTGGACTGGGCCAACTCGCGCAACGGTTCCTTTCCAGCCGGCCGGCGAGCAGGTAGACAAGGTGGCCGTCGAGGGGGGGGCTTCCAGCGGGTACACCGGGCGGCCGCCGATGCCCTCAGTCAGAAGCATGTGAAGGGCCCTCTGGGCAGCTGCTAGACTGGGGTAGCCGTTCCCTTCCTCCGGGTAGACCGGGACCGTGTGCCACCAACCGGGTAGACTAGGGCAGCTGTCGATGCCTTTGCTTGGGAGCGCTGGGGCACCGCCATCCAGCCAGCTGCTAAACTGGGAGGCCGTTCCCTTCCTCAGGGTAGACCGGGACGCCCCTTCCACCGTGGATCTTCTGCGGCATCGCCGAGCGGATAGACCAGGGCAACCGCTGAGCCCCTTTGCTTAGGAGCGCAGGGGCGCCCCCAGGCAGCTGACAAAGAGATAGGCACGGTGGCTGCTCCCTTCCTTCCACCAGGTGGACCGGGTGGCATAGTAACCAGATATACCGCTCGGGGCCCAGTCTACCTGATGGAAGGGAACCCACACTCACCCACGAGGTGGGTCCCGGAAGGCAGGAGGAGGACAGGAGGAGGACAGGAGGAGAACGAAAGGAAAACGAGCCAAAGGCAAAAGGGGGGAGGGGCGGCCCGGTCTATCTGCTCTGCCGGTAGGATTTCTTAGCCCCTTTTCTTGGAAAACTTCCCCCCCCCCCTTGTTTGTCTCTTCAAGCTGTTCGACAGTGGAATTTGCTGCCAAGGAGTGTGGTGGAGTCTCCTTCTTTGGAGGTCTTTAAGCAGAGGCTTGACAACCATATGTCAGGAGTGCTCTGATGGTGTTTCCTGCTTGGCAGGGGGTTGGACTCGATGGCCCTTGTGGTCTCTTCCAGCTCTATGATTCTATGATTCTACTCCATCACAGTACAAAGGAAAGCATTGACACTTGCTTCATCCCTGAGTTAAGTAAAATAAACACCTGTGTCTTGTCCGTCATCTCACTATTGGGTGGGTAGGCATTGTGATTGAGATGGTTACCTGTCTGACACTCGGGGCGGAATATCACCAGTCATGACTCTCACTCACCCCTCCCCTTATACCTTCCCTGGGTCCTAAATGCCCTTGGAATTGATGGGATTGATACGAGTGATTTCTTATGAATTTCTAAAGTTTTCCCATTGAGCCAGTACACAGATACATTTATCAGTGAAATGCCACATTTGATACTGACACTTCCCCTGTTGTTCCTTTGTTGGAGACCTGGGGCTCAGAGGGGAGTCACAGGCGCCTTCTGCAAACTGAGCTGCTCTTGTTTTCTTGCTCATTTTGGATTCTTCCCTGGGGAAGAAAAAGCTTTGTTGAGGCCACTGGAACACCTTGCAGCATAACTATTCATATTTAAATGGTACAGGTCCTGATCCCAGGGTATCTCTGGGGCTCATCTGTCCATGTGAGTTCTACACACACACACAGAGAGAGAGAGAGAGAGAGAGAGAGAGAGAGAGCAGTTTCTTAAAGGAAAACGTTTTGTCCTTCTGACTCCTGTCCTTGGGAACCCTCTCCTGAGATGAGGTGATCTGCCTAAGGTGTCATGGAGGCAGGTGAAGACTTAACGCTGTCAATGTTTAATAGGCTGTGACAGTGAGATGCTCTCAAATGTCTCATGGCTGCTCCCAACAGCTTCGGGTTGATGTTAAATAGCAATGGCAACAAGGCTTAGCTGCAGAAGGGCAGCGGGAGGGAACCGAGGGGTCTCCTGGATCCAGTCCGCTTGTGACCACCAATGATTACACATCATTTGTGGCAATTGTCTGCCACTTTGGACAGCCTTTTCATCTAAGCAACGTTAGAATGTGGTTTCTACATTACCACAGCCCTGTCAAAAGCAGAAAGTATGGCTCACGGGGAGGACACAAGGAGGACTGCTCTGTCTTGATGTTGGGGTGTGGTGGTAAGGCAGGCTGATCAGCACTGACCAGAGCAGGCCCCTTTGTGGCACCTGCTTAAATGGAAGCTGCTGCAACAAAGGACCTTCCTCTGTCTGCAAAGGAATCTGTTTTTTTCAGCTTGGCCATCAGGTGACAGGTGAGACGCCCCAGCCAACTCTTAAAATGGTCCACAAGGGTGGGGGAGTTCAGGATTCACCCCTTTTCTGTGAGAGGAAAGCTTTGCAGTCCTCCAAGTGAGGGGTATGGAGGCTTGTGCTCACCTTGAATCTCTCTCTCCCTCCAAGCATTTATGTGGCTTCTCCCCAGCATGGATTCTTCGAGGAGTCAGGTGTGGGTTCAGACGGAAGCTCCTTTTCTCTTCTTTTTGCAGGGTGCCTTGAGGGAATCCAGTTTTGGGCTTTGCTGCTTTTTGCATGCATCCACAAACCACCTTTGGCACTTGGCATGAGACTTTTGGTTTCCTTTCTCATTTCCTTCTTTTCTGCAGATTTCTCCAAAGCATCGATTGTGCCTTAATAAAATTCTGCAGACTGTAATCAGGTCAGCACATAGTGTAGACTACAAACTGGCTAAAGTCATCATCAGACTGGCTGCTGAAGATATGCTGAGGACCAGAGTAAGGAGCAAACTGCTGAAATAGATGCTCCTTATATCACTAAGCTGAAGGAGTGAGCGACACTGGCACTCTCCCACAACCCTAACCCTAAACTTAAACCCTAACCCTTACCCCCAACCCTCTAGCCCTACACCCTCATCCTAAACCCAACCCCTAACATTTAACCCCTAACCCTCACCTTCACCCTCACCCCACCCTAACCCTCTAACCCCTAAAACCCTAATCCCTAACACTTCACGAAGAATTCAGTGCAGCCCCATGGGGAGGCTGCCCTCAAAGGCCAGTGTCCACCCTAAGTGCATGACAAGCCGCAGCACCTGGGGGCTGCCCAGGTCCCTGGCTCAGCTTTGCACGGAACTCAGAAGCCCTCCTCCTCCCCTCCCATCTGGCTCAGGCCACCACATGATCCTGAAGGTCCCTTCTAGCTCTACAATTCTATGATTCTATGAAGAGCGGCCTGTTTAGCCCAGTAGCACATTTGCACGTTCACATCTTTAGTATTTGAAGGAACAAGGAGACTGGCTTTGCAGTATTTGCAGGAACAAGGAGACGGGCAGCCGTGAGCAAGGCAGGCAGCCAAGGCAGCTCTTAATATTTGCAAGACGGGAGAGGTGAGGAATGGTCAGGAAACTCTGGCAGAAAGACAACAGAACTATGGGAATTGCTGGAATTGCTCATCTCAAGACCCCCCCTCACTTCTCCATTGACCAAAAAGCTATAAAAACCCCATATTCCAAAAAGTCAGTTGGCTCTTCCAGCTGCAACAGAGAAGAACTTACCCAGTGCTCCTAAGGAATCAGTGCACATCTGCTTCACCTAACGACAGCTATAGACTTTCTCACCCCCTACATTTCTTGGCTTGATATTAATGTGATTTTTCGGGCAAAATTGTCCCTTTCCATAGGCTTTTGGGATTTTTCTGCTCTTTAGATCAAGCTGCGTATGTCTTGTAGGATCTGCTGCCTGCTTTAATTGTCATTTTGCTGCCTGAAGCAGCATTTATATATATTCTGTCACTTTCATTTCATATAATAAACAAATCTTTATAATTCCTCTGTGTAAAAACATTTTTGGTCCAATTAATTTTTATTGCTTTTCAACGTTTTCAACAAGTTAACATCAAGTTAACATCAAATTAATACAAATTTAATACAGATTTAAAAGTTGACTTCCCACCCAGGATCCATGTTTCTCTTTCCTCCCTTACTCACTGCTCAATATAGCATACATTTCCTAATTTCATTTCAATACTTAAAATATTTTATCACTTATTCTTTTCCCTTTCTTCATTTCCCATTGGCTGTGCAGTGGTACATTGGTTCTCAAACTTAATCTGTTCTGGGAGGCCGTTTGACTCCCGAAACCATCCAAAAACCAAGACGCGGCTTCCAATTGGCTGCAGGAGCTCAAGTGGAAGCAATGTTGGACATTTGGCTTCTGAAAAACATTCACAAACCAGAACACTTACTTCCGGGTTTGCAGTGTTTGGGAGCAGATTTGTTCAACAACTAAGCCGTTCGGGAAACAAGACACCACTGTGCACATTTCAATTCCTGCATAGACTTTTATTTTACTATAACATATTCCCAAAATGTCAAATAGAGTTACTCTTCACTTTGTCAGCCTACAAAAATCACTGGTTATGCATCAATATCCCACAAATACAACTTATTTCTCCTGGCGTTTTGCATGTGCACATGTCTGACTGGTGATGGTAAATAAGAAGTCCTCTTCAGCCGCAGCATCCCATTCCATCTTCACACACACAAACAATCCACAGGATCTCCTGATTCTCACTGTTATATAGCAAAAGGGTCACTGGTGATATCATATTCCCAGGCTTCTGGTCTGTCCATGTTCTTGCCCTCCTTGCCTAATACCAGGTGGGAGGGGGAGTGAACATTATTGCCGTGAAAATATATTTTAAAATTTTCTTAATCCTCTCCCCTATGCTCAGTTAGGTCCATACAAGCCATCTTCTATACTTCACAATTTCAGATTATTTATTCTTTACCAGGTCTATCCAATTTTATAATGTTACAACAGTTTGGGATTTAAACGCTGCTTCACACGCTCTCACGCCAAATGCTTTGGTCCATCGTCTCTAAAGCCAGCTTTACTCTAGTTTCTATTACATCTTTTTGTTCCATGAGCCTGTACAGGACAAGGACTAATTCCTTAAAAACATTTGTATTTAAATGACCCTTTCCTTCCCCTTTAGCCAGGCAGATTTTCACACACACCATCCAATAATTCATTTGCATACAGGATCCATAAATTTTTAGCTGGCAAAGTTAATTTATATTTAAGGTCCGCTCTTCTTAAATTCTTACAATTCCATTGCTCGGCAGGGGTTAGTTGCAAAAATCCTTAAGAAGAAAATTATACGAAGAAACCATCCACCCTCCCATTTTCAATACCCCTCACAGCAGAAATTAGCATCTTACGAAGCCTTCAATTAACAGTCAAATAGTCTCCAGCAGCTTTGGTTAACATCATGTAGGCTGGGGCACCTCTTCACTTTAGTCCAATTGTCTGAAATCAACGGAGATTCACAGCAAACATGGTTGTTGACGGAGGTTTTCTCGAGAATGGAGTCACACCAAAAGACAGAACCCTGCCCCTCCTTTCTCAGTGAAGTTTTCCAGCTCCATCCAAGCCCAAAGCAGACATTATAAGGTGTCTGCAAGTTTATGACACTCCCCAATTTCATCAGAAGGATTAAGGGGGGTGCTAGCCTGCCCCCAATATCTTCATCCAAGGACACACACCCCCCTGGGGCTTTGGAGAACCTGGGAGAGCCCCATCCCGTGTTCACTACTGGAAATGGAAGCCCTATGTAATAACTTCTTGTTGGTGTAGGGTTAAAGGCAAACACATATTCATAAAAGGATGCATCTTATGCCTCTAGCAAAAGATCCCAAAGCCTCTTCATTGTGTGTGAATACACGTGAGAGCTGGACATGCATGTTATTTCAGACAATGTAACAGTTCTAGTAAAGAATGTGGGCGGCAAGGGTGGCTTAAGGCATATTTAACCTCACATATGTTGGACTTTTAATGTTAAAGTCCAACATTTATTTTGACAATTAAAAGGTGTCCCTGTTTTACTTCCCATCCAGCTGTCCCTGGCAATGAAGCTCCTTGCAATAAGTGAGGCCGTAGTTTCCAAACCATTTGCAAAGGGTAAATAAGTTTTAGCTCCAGAGAGTTTTAACTGATACATGCTTCCCTTTGGTTGGCAACTGTTAAAAATATATATTTGAAGGGTCATGCAAGCAAAGGTATAGGGCTTAAGGCCAGAATTTGAATTTGGTTAATTGTTTCATGTGAGAATTTAGCCAGAATTTGAATTGTATGGTTGAGCGCTTGAAGCCCAAACCAATTTATCCAAGTCATTGGCAGTGACATCTGTGGGCCCTTAACTTTATGTAACTCACACTCTTCGCCTCCATGCAAAGCCTGGGACATTATCTCTTTAAGGGGAATTCATTAGAACAGACTGGTTTTGCAAAATTCTTAGAATTTTGGTACTAATGCTGTGGAATCCCCTTCTATTCCTTGTTCTTTTAAGAACATTTAGTTCACTCTGTTTCTGTGGTGGCCTTGGAATGCTATCAGGCCAATAGCATTGCTTGGAAGCAACTGGAAACAGAAGACTACACATTATAAATATGTTGAGTTAGAGGTATATCGAAAACACTTCTTCACTCGACTGTATTTATTGTGTGAAGTTTAATGCAGACAAATACAACTGTGAATAGATTGCCAGTAAGCAAGGGGTTAAGAACCGCCGTCTTTACATCTTAGAGAAGGCTACAAGGTTCAGATTGGTGTTGGTCCCTCTTCTCTCCAAGGGCAGGAGTAAAAAGGTCTATTTGTCTTTTTCAATTTTTTATTTCTCTTCCTTACCATGCTCTCAACCTGGAAGGACGTGTGGCTACTCTGCAGGCTCACATAAAGGATCTTCATCTTAACTTCTGTAATTTTTAATCTAAGAGGTGCTGTGCCTTTGCTTATATTCATACTGATTTGAAGAACACTAGATTTATTGCAGGTGAAACTTTTATGCTTACTTGAAAGCCTGATCTTATTAGTAGTAAAAAGGGAAGTGGCGGGGTAGCAAATCCCAAGTGCCCAGAAAGGATTCCTAATATAGGCTTCACAGTCCTTTATCCCTGCTGTATTGCTGTTCAAACTATTCAACTCTGCTGCAAGAGGCTTTAAGGTAAGAGTCAAACCTCGGGGATTTCAATGTAGGGCTCACAACTCCTTGTCAAACTGTTATTGTGTAAACACACGTTTACACAACTCCCCCCACATTTCTGGGGTTCTGAGTTTTGTAAGGCAATATTGATATTGACAGGAGGGAGGGTCAATTCAGTACACAACTAGATGGCACTGATTGAAGGCAAACTCATCAGTGTTGCCAAATCATGCATGACTCTCTTCCCCAGGTGTGATGTGAAGAAGGTATTCCAACAGCTTGGCCAGTGACTTGCACCTCACAGATGTGGGCACGTAGTATGAAGAAATGTTAGATAATACAAACACCATAGCAATACTCACCCACCTACTAATTAAAGTTTCATATATTTAAATTTGTAAACAGCAACTGCTATGGTTTCTCCCCATTGGGAATTTGATGGGAAGTGAGGTTGTCACTGCCAGTGAAGCTCATTCCATATTTGAAGCACTGATATGGTCTCTCTCCACTGTGAATTCTTTGATGGGAAGTGAGAGTGCGACTGTGTCTAAAGCTCTTTCCACATTCCAAGCACAGATATGGTTTCTCTCCACTGTGAGTTCTTTGATGGGTAGTGAGAGATGATCTCTGACGGAAGCTCTTTCCACACTCTTGGCACTGAAAAGGTTTCTCCCCAGTATGAATTCTTTGATGGGCCGTGAGAGTTGTTCTGTGACTGAAGCTCTTTCCACATTCCAAGCACTGATAGGGTTTCCCCCCTGTATGAATTATTTGATGGGAAGTGAGACTTTCCTTATGACTGAAACTCTTTCCACACTCTTGGCATTTAAATGGCTTCTCTCTTCTGTGAGTTGTCTGATGGTAAGTGAGAGTGCTGCTGTGATTGAAGCTCTTTCCACATTGCAAGCACTGATATGGTTTCTCCCCACTGTGAATTGTTTGATGGGAAGTGAGGGCGCTGCTCTGATGGAAGCTCTTCCCACATTGCAAGCACTGATATGGTTTCTCCATGCTGTGAGTTCTTTGATGGACAGTGAGATTGCTGCTGTAACGGAAGCTCTTTCCACATTCTAAGCATTGATATGGTTTCTCCCCGCTGTGAGTTCTTTGATGGGCCATGAAATTAGCTCTGTGACTGAAACTCTTTCCACATTCCATGCACTGATATGGTTTCTCTCCAGTATGAATTCTTTGATGGAAAGTGAGTGTTTCCTTTCGACTGAAACTCTTTCCACATTCCAAGCACTGATAGGGTTTCTCCTCGCTGTGTGTTCTTTGATGGGAAGCGAGACTTTCTTTCCGAGTGAAGCTCTTTCCACATTCCAAGCACTCATAAGGTTTCTCCCCTGTATGAATTCTTTGATGGGAAGTGAGATGGTTGCTCTTACTAAAGCTCTTTCCACACTCTTGGCATTCAAAAGGTTTCTCCCCAGTATGAATTCTTTGATGTAAAGTGAGTTTTCCCTTCTGACCAAAGCTCTTTCCACATTCCAAGCACTGATAGGGCTTCTTCCCGGTATGAATTACTTGATGTGTAGTGAGAGCGGTGCTGTGACGGAAACTCTTTCCACATTCCAAGCACTGATAGGGTTTCTCCCCTGTATGAATTCTTTGATGGGAAGTGAGAGCAGAGCTCTTACTTAAGCTCTTTCCACATTCCAAGCACTGATAGGGTTTCTCCCCAGTGTGAATTCTTTGATGGGAAGTGAGAGCAGTGCTGTGACGGAAGCTCTTTCCACATTCCAAGCACTGATACGGTTTCTCTCCGGTATGAATTCTTTGATGGGAAGTGAAAGTTGCGCACTGAGTGAAGCTCTTTCCACATTCCAAGCACTGATAGGGTTTCTCCCCGGTATGAATTCTTTGATGTGAAGTGAGATTGCTGTTGTGACTGAAGCTCTTTCCACATTCCAAGCACTGATACGGTTTCTCCCCAGTGTGGACTCTGTGATGGGCTGTGAGAGTTCGTTTCCGACCAAAGCTTTTTCCACATTCTATGCACTGATAGGATTTCTTCCCAGTGGGATTTATTTGATGGGAAGTGGAATGAGAGCTCTGACGGAATCTCTCTCCACACTCCGAATATTTATGTGGCTTCTTCATTGTGTGGATTCTGCCATGGTCTCCCTTGATCATTTCTAATTTATCACCACCTACATTGAAGAGAAAAAGAGATTAGAGTCACAGGAAGAAATTGAGTCCCCAGTTATTTAACAATGCTTATGAATGCTTGTGATAGAGGGAGAACTGACGAGAGTTCAGATGTGAGGTCTTCCTACAGAGTTCACTGCCTTTGTTGACTAGCATTTATGGACATATTTATAGGAACCTGGAATTCGAAAAGCCTGGCTTCTTTCTGGGTTGGATCTGACCCGATCATGGAATCTGCTTCATCTCAAAGGTCAGTAAGTTCTCTGACCAACTGAAAATGGACCAACTGAAGATGGTTGCTCTTACTAAAGCTCTTTCCACACTCTTGGCATTCATAAAAACATAAAACGTGACAAAAGCTACTTCCATTTGTCTAACAAGTCTGAAGGCTACATTTTAAAAGGATTGAGCAGTTCAGACAAGCCTAACTTTCTTCTGTAATGTAGGTTGTAAACCGCTTTGATTCCCCCCCCAAAAAAAATATAAAGTGATAGGGAAACAAAATGAATGATAATAATATTAACAACTGGAGGAAGAATAATCACAGACAAACCAGTAGGCAGCCTTCCATTCAAGGTGAGCTGTGGGGATGTAGCCCTGTTGAGCTCCATCAAAATATTGGAGGTTTGTTACAAAGAGGTATGTATTGATTTTCAAAACAGATATTATGAACCAGCAGGGAGCCTTACCAAGTGAGTCCATGATCCCACGATTCTCCTCCATGACTTCCTTATGTAAAGCTCTCTGGTCAGAATCCAGCAATGCCCATTCCTCGTCTGTGAAACAAACAGCGACATCTTCAAAGCACACTGGACCCTAAGAGAAGGAAAATGTCCTCCACTTAGACAGCATAAAGATGATCTACTACACATTGCTCTGTTGTTTTCTGCCTGTTGGTTACTGCATTGTTTTAATGGGATTGTTTTGCTGCACATTTGCAGCAAATTCTTCAGGGGACACTCCTAATGCCCTAAAGTGGACTTCAGGGGGTGAATGGGGACCTGGGAAGGGAGAGGATAGAAGGGGAAAGCCCTGCTGTGCAACTGATTGGGGTGGCTAGGTGAATCCTGGCCACTCTTTTTTATGGTTCATCCACTTCTTAGAAACCTGTTGTAGCATTCAATTATAACTTTATAAAGAAAATGGAAATGACAGGGATAATATAAGTGACATTCGGAAGCTGAGGTGAGGAAGCTGTTCCTTATTCTTAGTAAATAAACCTTCTCAAATGGCCTTTTTAGCCTTTGTTCAGGGCAGGTTTGACAAGAAGCTTGGGCACAGAGGCACCTGGCTGCCCCACCCTCGGCCCCTCTCCCCACAATGCTCCTTCCCACTACCTGATCTGGTTCCACAGCTGCCGCTTCCCCTCCGTTGCCATGAAAATATGGATGAGGTTTCACTGATGTCTTTCTGTCACCTGCGAGAGACAAAGGTACGTGGGAAGCCAAGGGAGTCTGCTTCTCTCAGAGGTTAAGTAGTGGATCTCTAACTACATATGAAATGGACTTTTGTACCCATTTCATATTTTAGTTGTGTAAATATACATTTCCCCTCCTGGAGGTTTTGGCCCCAAATGTCTTCCCCCAAAAGATTCAAATAACCCACTGCTATGTTTCAAAATCTACAGAATGTGACCCAACAGAGAAATAACTCATTCCTCCTTACCCAGGGGCCTCTCTCTGGTATCCAAGAGAGTCCTCTCTGCTTCAGAGGAATCCGTGCCCATTTCTGCAAACAGATAATTTCCCTGAAATCACAGAATGACAGAGTTGGAAGGGACTCCAAGGATCATCTAGTCCAACCCTCTGCAATGCAGGAACTTCCACAAGTATTCCAAACAGAGAACTCGGAGAAGAGTTAGAAAAGGAACGGCAGAGGCAAAAACATTAGGGGTATCAGATAGCATTCCATGGATGCTTTCCAAAAAAGATGTGCCATTGGTTGAGAATTTGAGGATACCCTACCTCATGTTCAGAGCACCTTGGGAGTATTCAGAGGAAAGTCTCACCTGCTGTTCTGTCTCCTTTCTCTCCGCTGCCTGACTCAGGAGGAAACCTTCGGCCAGGGCCACTGCCTGGGCACTGGTCTTCGCTCCACATTCCCTCACCCAGCTCTCCATCTCCGGTGGAAGGACAGCCAGGAACTGCTCCAAGATCACCAGGTCCAGCATCTCAGCTTTCGTATGCCTTTCTGGCTTTAGCCATTGACGGTCAAAGTGGTAGAGTCGACTGCAAAACTCTCGGGGACCTTTGACCTCTTGGTAGCAGAACTGCTGGCTCTGCACATCAGAGCGAAGGGTGTCCTCCTCAGCCAGGATCTGCACAGAGTTTTCCCAGAATCCCCTGCTGCTCCCCATTAGGATGAAATTGCCTCTTCCTCCTCCAGGGTCAGCTGAGTCTTGCTCATCCACCTGTGCTCTCAAGAAACCTCCAAGGGATCAGAAAGAATCTGTTTCTTCTTCTGCCAAATTCTGTCTGTCCAAATTAGAGGTGCTAGAAAAGTCCTACAAAGCACAAACACATTGTTCTGTTATAAAATGGATACACTGTCAGGAGAAGAAAACAATGTTTCCTCAGCAAGCGTGGATGAGCCTTGCAAGGAATCAGGCCTGGACTCTACCACGGCACTGACTTGAACTTTCTTTTCAAAGTGAAAAAGGAAGGAAGAGGAGAAGCCCCTATTTCTCCTACTGCCTTCTCGGTAGCGGCACCCTCCCTGTGGAACGCCCTCCCTTCAGATGTCAAGGAGATAAAGAACTACATAACTTTTAGAAGACATCTGAAGGCAGTCGTATATCCGGAAGTTTTTAATATCTGATGTTTTAATTTGTTTTTATATATGCTGTAAACCAGCCAGAGTGGCTGGGGAAACCCAGCCAGATGGACGAGGTATAAATAACAAACAACAACACTAGAAAGGTTACCATGCAAAATGTGCAGGCACCTTAAGGGATTTCTGTGAGATGAGTCAGCCTGGTTGCTCCTGCCTTTCGGTGTTTTCAGTCAATGAATGAAATCAGAACTGCAACTGATGAATGAGGAATTTGGACTGTCATTTTTGTCTACAGGAGTAGAAATCATATATCGAACAGATGGAAAGCTCTTTAATCTGAGCAGGCTGAAAGAAAAGAGTAAGATTACCGTACCTTCTGTCGCAGAGCTTCAGTATGCTCATGACAACGTAGTGTGTGCACACTCAGAGGACAACCTCCAAACCATGCTAGATATCTTTGCAGAAGCTTACAAAAAGCTTGGCCTATCGCTCAACATCCAAAAAACCAAAGTGCTGCACCAACAAGTGTAAAACAACCCCTCTGCAGCGCCACAAATCCAACTCGATGGTGTTATGTTGGGAAGTGTTAATCACTTCTCCTACCTGGACAGTTATCTTTCCACAAGGGCTGACATTGATGCCGAAATCCAGCATCGTCTGAGCTCTGCAAGTGCTGTATTCTCCTAACTGAAGTGCAGAGTGTTTGAGGACAGAGACATTCGTAGAGAAATCAAAATGCTAGTTTGGGGTGTGTGTGGTTTCACCCCCACCAAAATGCTTGTTTACAAAGCTATTGTACTACCAACCTTACTGTCTGCTTGTGAAACATGGAACACTTATAAATGCCATCTCCAACTTCTGTAAAGGTTCCATCAACGGTGTCTCAGAAAATTTTTACACATCTCCTGGGAAGACAAGTGAACTAATGTCAGTGTACTGGAAGAAGGAACAATCACCAGTGTCAAAGCAATGATACTTCAACATCATCTTCGTTGGACTGGTCATGTTGTGCGGATGCCTAATTATCATCTTCCAAAGCAACTACTCTATTCCGAACTTAAAAATGGAAAGTGTAATGCTGGTGGTCAACAAAAGAGGTTTAAAGACTGTCTCAAGGCAAATCTTTAAAAAGTAGTATAAACACCGACAACTGGGAAACACTGGCCTGTGAGCGCACCAGTTGGAGAGCAGCCTTTACCAAAGGAGTACTGGACTTTGAAGAATGTTTTTCTTCAACTCAGGATGAAAGGGTGAAACGAGCTAAGAAGAAGGCACTTATGGCAAACCCTCACCGGAATCAACTCCCGCCCAGAAACCTATGTCCCCACTGTGGAAGGACGTGTGGATCCAGAATTGTCCTCTGTTAAGAATATGTTCATGGAAGGCAATCTTACTTTGCTACGAGGGATCGCTAAAGAAAAGAAGAAGACCCCATAGCCTCTGCTCCTAGATTTGGAGCCCCCGCGTCCCCCCCACCTCCATGCACGAGCTAAACAGTCCCTCCACGCCGCCTCCGCCTGCAGCCCGGGGCTCTTAATTCTCCCCGATGCTCCGCAAGGGACAAGAGAGAGGACTCTCACCCGGTCCCCGAAGGCGCCAAGGACGCAGCTCTGCAAAAGAGGGAGACCACAGCCCCTCTTCCCTGGCAGGAAGTGACGCAAAAGGAGGTGCCTTTGCCCGCCCCCGTCCCACCTTCATTTTCTGTCCTCGACAGGCGCCATTTCAGGAGAGACGGTGAGGGTGGGAAGAGGCGACGGGCTGCCCGGCGACGTGACGCCACAGCACCATCTTGAAAGAGGGCAAGAAGCAGGCGGAAACGCGAACATCCTGGAAAAGGATGGGGCGGGGAGAGGAAAGGTGGCGGAAAGAGTGGGAGCATTTGCACATACACGTGTCCACAAAACACCAAGACTCCTGCAGGTGGTTGCAGGTAATGCAACAGGAGCCCTTCTGCAAATGGCCTTTGCAGCATAACTCAGTTATATGGTAACAAAGTATCCAGATGCGCCTATTTACAGTGGATATTTTCACTTAGCCCTGTTTCTCTATGAATCCACCAATTTCTTAGTTAAATACTAACGTAAAATCGCGAGTGGGAATTGCAGGCGAAAAAGGACACGCCTGCGGAGACGAAAGCTCATACCAATAACTAACTTAGTTGGTCTCTAAGATGCTACTGGAAGGAATTTTTGTTTTGTTTTGTTTCGACTACGACAGACCAAAACGGCTACCTACCTGTAACTAGAAATTTGGGGGAAAGCTGTGCAGCAGGCGCCTGAATCGCCACGGTGCAGGCGCCTGCCCGAAATCAAGGGGCAGGGAGTTCCAAAGGGCAGGCGAGGACCGGTCAAGCTCCTTCGTTGCCTAGGCGAAGAGGCAAACTCGACTGGATCGCTCGCTTCCCGCCCGTGAAGCGCAAGAAGAAGGAAACCAAAGAGAAGAGCCGCCCTCAGCCCCGAGGGGCTTACAATCGGAAGGAGGGACAAGAGAAACGTCTTGCCAGGAAAAGAGTTTTGAGCTGAGCCGAAATCCCACAGGATCGCCGGTGGAGTCCCCGTGAGAAATCGCGCGAGCATCTGAGCGTGTGCAGAGTGCAAACCTCGCCTCCCTGGCGTCTCCCTGCGAAGGCGGCTTCTTCGCCCTCCGTCGGCGCCTGCAGGGGGCTCCGCCCGCCCCGCCGCCTCCTCCGCCCCCGCCGGACTCTGAGTCACTAATCGGGAGCAGATGCCTCCGGCCAGAGCCTCGCCTGGCTGCAGAAGGTAAGGGGGCGCACGGAGGGGGTGGGGAGAAGCCAGAGAGGCGGGGGCGCTGGGCAAACCGCCGAGGCTGGGTGGGTAGGGGAGCTGAGCCCCGAGACCTATTTGCCCGCCCGGCCGTCGGCGAGGGCGCCCCTGAGGTTACGCAGAGCGCCTTGAGCCCAGGATAGGATGGATGACAAGGAGGAACGGGGATGTTGGTGGCCTCCGGGAGCCCCGGCACCTATTTTGCTCGCCCTGCCGTCGGCGAGGGCGCCCCTGAGGTTACGCAGAGCGCCTTGAGCAATGCAGGATGGGCGCAGAGGAGAGGAGAGGGTTGGAGGCGCTTGTTCTGTGGACGGCGAGGGCGCCTCTGAGACTACGCAGAGCGCCTGGATCGGTGCGGGATGACCAAGAGGAGAGTCTCCATGAGTCCCCGCACCTCTTCCTTCCCCGGGACCAGATCCTCGGCGGGCTGCCCAGCCTCCGCCTGCGCCCGCCCCGTCTGGGCTGCAGGCGAAGCTGGAAGGAGCGGGTGTCTCGCCATCCCGGGTCTCCTCCTCCTCCGCATCCCCTGGAATTTCCGGGGATCGGGTTACGCGACCCTCCTCCTCCTCCTCTCCGGCTGCAGACTTCCAGCGAGCGGGACCAGAGGCGACGGGGCGGGCGGTGAGTACCAGGCTCCCGGCTCCGCCATGCCTTCCTTGCCCGGGGCATTGCAAGCGCCCCCACCCTCTGCAAAAGGGGCCCCCAGCCTCTCCCTCTCCTCTCCCTCCTCCTCCCTGTCTTCGCCACGTCTTGCCCGCATCCAGGAGAGGTGCTGAGGCCTGCCGGGATGTCTGCTCCCTCCCTGGCTTAGGAGAAGAGTTGAAAAACAACAGACGGCTTTGATTTGGGGGGCGGAGGGGGGAGAGAAGGGGAAGGGCTCCTGGGCAGAGCAGCTTTTCTGCATCCAGAAGGCTCCCAGTGCAGTCCTGAAACTTTGGAGAGCCGTTGCTGCCGGTCAGAGACTCCTGAGCTAGGCAGGCCAATGTGTCTTGACTCAGTAGGGAGCATCATATGGAAAGGCATACAGCCACTTCTTCTGTGTCCCCATTTAAACCAGCCTTTAATCCAGAGCCAGGAAGACTAGAATCTTGGTTTATTTTTTAAAGGAGGGGCTATAGCTCAGTGGGAGAGCATCTGCTTTGCATGCAGAAGGTCCTGGATTCAAATTCTGCCAGCATCGCCAGGTAGCATTCCTGTCAAAAACCTTGAGGAGCTGCTGCCGATCAGTGTAGACAGTATTGAGCCAGATGGACCAATGTATCTGACTCAGTAGGGAACATCCTATGATTTTTCCCCGCTCTCTCTCCTAATCTCCCTGCCTGGATCCAAACTCTCACAAGAGTTTTTTTTCTCTTTCTTATTTTGTAAAATGTGTACACGCAGACTGGAAAACTTAGCGGCCTGCAGCAATTCCGTTGCACCCGCCTGCTGCCAGCCAGGACGCCTTCACCCGAGGCCCTGTTTTGGGGGTGCACCCTGGATTGCTTTATGGGTGCCCTGTATGAATGAGGCAAGTGGGTGCGGCACCATCATTTATTAATCTTTATCGATTTATATTCCCTCAGGGGGCTCAAGGTGGTTGGCACAGCCCTCCCCATTTTAACCCTCACGATACCCCTGCAAGGTAAGCTGGGTGAAGGGATGGTGTCTGAGCCAAAGGTACCCCGTAAGATGGGGGGGGGGTTGGCATTCATATTAGATGCTCTGCAGCACTGACCCACAGCCCTTCCCAAACACCCGGAGGGCTCCAGGGTTTCCCCCCCACACACAAATCTAGGATTCTATTGCTCCCACCGGAAGCCCCATATTTCTTTTGGAGGTCTTTTCAGGGCCCCAAAGTGGGTCCCTCAAACATCAAGTATCAGGTAACGCAGAATATTTGGGGAAGAGTTTTTCAGCGATGGATAATGTGCATCTGATTGGCCCCTGTGAGAACAGGATGCTAGACTAGACAAGCTCTTGGCCTGATCCAGCAACCTCTTGTTGTTGTTGTTTAGTCATTTAGTCGTGTCCGCCTCTTCGTGACCCCCTGGACCAGAGCACGCCAGACACTCCTGTCTTCCACTGCCTCACACAGTTTGGTCAAACTCATGCTGGTAGCTTCGAGAACACTGTCCCACCATCTCCTCCTCTGCCGTCCCCTTCTCCTTGTGCCCTCCATCTTTCCCAACATCAGGGTCTTTTCCAGGGAGTCTTCTCTTCTCATGAGGTGGCCAAAATATTGGAGCCTCAGCTTCAGGATCTGTCCTTCCAGTGAGCACTCAGGGCTGATTTCCTGCAGAATGAAGAGGTTTGATCTTCTTGCAGTCCAGGGGACTCTCAAGAGTCTCCTCCAGCACCAGAATTCAAAAGCATCAATTCTGCCTTGCCGTGGTGAAGGGGCTTGAATAACTCAGAGAAGCTATGAGCTATGCCATGCAGAGCCACCCAAGATGGACAGGTCATAGTGGAGAGTTTTGACCAAACATGATCCACATGGAGCAGGAACTGGCAAGCCACTCCAGTATCCCAGCCAAGAAAACTCCATGGACAAAGACAGCAACTTCTTATGGAGGTCTATTGTGATAGCAGAACCTCCATGCCCAGGGACAGTCTACCTCTGAATACCAGGCCTTGGGAACAACTGGAGAGTTGCTGCTTGTGGGCCTCCCTTTGGGGTCCCGGTCGGCCACTGTGAGAGCAGGATACTGGCCTGGAGGGGGCTGATCCAGCAGGCTCTGTTCTTATGTCATCACTTCTAGATTTATGATTTTAAAAAAGCAGGGAAATTACTGCAGTGAAAGGTCCCAGCGGCAAGGAGCTTACAGTCCAAAGTTCGAAACTGCCCCAAGGAGAAGAGCAAGGGTGTGTGTGTGTGGCATGGACATTGCACTGCCCACTTTTCAGAAAATAAAATCTGTGCTTCCAGGTGGGAATATTGGACAGCTCTGCAGTCAAACCTCGAGTCCCGACGATGAATATCCTTGCCCCCGTCAGGCGGGACCGCGTCATTGCCGAACTGCCGCCGGTAAGGGGGCCAGGATCCTTGGAGGCAGGGGGCGGCAGGCACAGCTCAGCAGCAACACTTATGGTGTCAGAATCTCACTTTTTAGCATCAGGATGGTTTTGCACCTGTGGCTCCGCCCCTTTCCCTCTGGCCCCACCCACCACTGATCTGGGGGCCAGGATCCTTGGAGGCAGGGGGCGGCAGGCACAGCTCAACAGCAACACTTATGGTGTCAGAATCTCACTTTTTAGCATCAGGATGGTTTTGCACCTGTGGCTCCGCCCCTTTCCCTCTGGCCCCACCCACCACTGATCTTCGGCCCTCGGAAGGTTGCCAAGGAGACGGTGTGGCCCTTGATCTGAGAACGGTTCCCAAGTCCTGCTGGCATGCACATTTCTGGCCCCTCTTTCTGCAAGCAAAAGAGAACGGAGGCCAGGAATGGCTCAGCCATGGAGCCAAATTGGGGGTGCTGGAATTTTGGGGTGCTTGCACCAGATTGGAGATTTTTGGTGGGGGCTGTATGTGTGTGCCTGGACAGAGAGTGGGGTGTGTGACCTGTATTTGAAGAGAAGGCCTTTTAAAGAATCATAGAGCTGTAGGGTCGGAAGGGACCCCACAGGGTCATCTAGCCCAACCCCAGTCCCCGTCCCCATGCAATATTCCCCGGATGTCCTGGGGGAAACGATCTGGAGCCTTTTTCAACTGGCCCACCAGCTCAAATCAGGGGGAGGACAATAACGAAAAAAAACCAGTCTCCTGGCCTGGGTTGGACTAGATGACCGTAGGGTTCCCTTTCATCTCTGGTAGGGAGAAAACGGTGGAGGGGAAACCCTTTTAATTCATTAAGAGCAGGGGTCAGCAAGCTTTTTCAGCAGGGGGCCGGTCCACTGTCCCTCAGACTATGTTGGGGGCCGGACTATATTTTGAAAAAGAAAATGAACAAATTCCTATGCCCCACAAATAACCAAGAGATGCATTTTAAATAAAAGCACACATTCTACTCATGTAAAAACACGCTGATTCCCGGACCGTCCGTGGGCCAGATTGAGAAGTCAGTTGGGCCGGATCAGGGCCCCCAGTCTTAGTTTGGCTACCCATGCTCTTGAGCAGGCATAGGCAACCTTCGGCCCTCCAGCTGTTTTGGGACTACAACTCCCATCACCCCTAGCTAACATGACCAGTGGTCAGGGATGATGGGAATTGTAGTCCAAAACATCTGGAGAGCCGAAGGTTGCCTATGCCTACTCAAGAGCATCAAAAACTTAGAGGTGTGTGTGTGTGTGGCTGCACAGGTGGCCTGGGAACTCAGTGGTTAGGGAAACTTTTCTTTAAAATGCACACAAACTTATTTGTTTCTTGTGGGTTTGTGCATGTGGTGCTGGCGGGAGTCTTTGCATTGGAAGAGCTGTTTGGGGCGCTGCAAGGAGCATACAGAATGGGGGCGTGTGGCAGTGCCGTAACTCCCCCCATTCCTCGTTTTCCTTCCCAGTGCTTCACCAAAGGGGCCGCGCTCCATTCCAGGACCTCCTTTCACTCCAAAGTGGTTGGGATGTGCCAGTCCCAGAGGACGGGGACCGTGGGGTGAGTATTTAACACCAGAACATGAGAACACTGAACAAAGCTGAAGGTAGGAAGATTTGGGGTGGATAAAAGGAAGTCCTCCTTCACGCCGTGTGGAGTTAAACTGTGGAACTCCCTGCCACTTGGATGGCTTCAACAGAGGTTTGGACAAATTCCTGGAGGAGGTGAGGGCTATCGAGGGCTTCTTGCCAGGATGAGTTTGCTCTGCCGGAGGCAGTCAATGCTTCTGAATACTAGTTGCTGGAAAAGAGGGGGGTCTTGTGTTCGAATCCTGATTGTGGGTTTCCCTTTGGGGCATCTGGTTGGCCGCTGTGAGAGCAGGAGGCTGAACTAGACGGACCACTGGGCCTGATCCAGCAGCCAGGCTCTTATTATGTTCTTATTTACGGAGACCCTTGTCTCCACCTTTAAAGACCATCGCCATGACCTTCTAGAGGCCAGATCCACAGATCAGTTAGGGGCACAGAAGTCTATTCCTTTTATCTCTCCTGAATCTCCTGCACAGAATCCTGGAAGGAGGGACTGAAAGGCCCATCTAGTCCAACCCTCAGAATGCAAACATCACAGCTGATTTGTCAGCATTTCCCTGCAAATTCCTCCTTCTGTACACATGTAGTTTTGTCTAACATGAATATTTTTGCACAGCGGTTTCCCCGAATAGAATGCAGCCTTGTATGTTATTTTTCACTGATGCCTGCATTCATATGCACCCTTTGCATCCTTGCACACTTTACTTGTCTGGAGAACTGCACTGCAAAATCCATGGAAAATGTGAATTTCTAAGGACAGCTGTGTTTTGCTTCACATATTGTTTCAGAAACTGCAAGTCACTTTGTATTTAAATGTGCAAGTCTCTTTCGCTATAGCATGACGAGAGAAGGAGAAAGACTTCTCTGTCCGATTTTCGCCACCCCAGGGGTAATTTTACTCATCTCTATCACACTCCACCCCTTTTATCTCCCATCAGTCACCCTTTATCTTAGCTTAGATAAAAGCCCCCTGGCATTATGAACAGTTCCTATTAGGGGAGTCTCTCCAGGCTACCTTTTTCCTAGACATTAACTCAGCCTTTCCCCCCTTCTCAACAGGTTTAAAATTTCCAAGATCATTGTAGTCGGTGACCTCTCTGTGGGGAAGACCTGCTTGATCAACCGGTAACTATGGGGGAATACCCGGGAGGATCGGGGCCCAGGTCTTGGAGAATCATGGGAATTGCTCAGGGTGCAGGGAACTGTAGCTCACGCATTTCAGCACCCTAAACGAATGGCAATCCCCAGGGGGCCCCACGGCTGTTTAGAGCGCTTTAAATGTAAAGTGTGGGTTTGACCCCCAAGTCCTTTTATGCCAGGATGACGAACCTGTGACTTTTGGCTGTCGGTACTCCCCACACCCCAACTGTCCTTGGGTGTTTTTGCCTGGCTGCAAATGTCTCTCTGAACTGTGCAAAGGGACGCCTGCTAGAGGGTTGCTGTTTTTCGGGGGGGACGGACAGAGGAGCACCCCCTCCATTTGCCAATGGACCTTTAAAGCCCTTTGTGGCTTAGGGCCCTTGTATTTACAGGGCTGCCTCTTCTGGTCTGCCCACAGAGGACCTTAAGGTCCATGAACAACCATAGTTTAGAGGTCCCGGGCCCTAAGGAAGTCAGACTATCCTCCACCAGGGCCAGGGCCTTTTCAGTGATGGCTCCAACCTGGTGGAATGCTCTGTCCCATGGGCCCTGCAGGATTTAACCTCCTTCCTCAGGGCCTGTAAGACAGAGCTATTCTGCCTGGCCTTTAATTTGAATTCAGCCTGATCTTTTATTTCCCTTCCCTTCCCTTCCCTCCCCCTCCCCTTTTATGAAGATCACCCGCTCTGAGACCCCACAGCTAATTCTCCCCTGGCCTCCTCGCTGGCCCAAGTAGGACCAATTCAGCCAGCTGGCCCTGGGGATTATGTAAGGCTTATTTCCCCTAAGTTGATTTTTGAATTTTATTGTTATTCATGTTTTTATACTGTATTTTATGCTGCTTTTATAATTGTTTTAAATTTGTTGTTAGCAGCCCTGAACCCGGTTTTTGAACTGGGAAGGGCGGGGTATAAATAAAAAATTATTATTATTCTTAATCTTGAGCAGGAAGAGGCTGATGCAGAACCCTCTCCTCCTTGGCCCCTCTCTCTCTCCCTTTCTCTTTCCTTATCCTCAGCTTTTGCAAAGACACTTTCGACAAGAACTACAAAGCCACCATTGGGGTGGACTTTGAGATGGAGCGGTTTGAGGTGCTGGGAGTCCCCTTCAGCCTGCAGCTGTGAGTACCTGCAGCCCACCCACCCAACCTCTCCGTCCTTCGGGGGAACCCCTCCCTTGGCCCCCTTTCTCAGTCATCCCCGCTACGCAGATAAGCCCTGCTCTGGAGCTCTGTGGCACCTGCAGCCTAACGCCTTCCTTGCCTCCCTGCCAGGTGGGACACGGCCGGCCAGGAACGCTTCAAATGCATCGCCTCCACCTACTACCGTGGAGCTCAAGGTGAGACAATGCGATTATCAGGGGTTGGAGGGTCTGTCTGTCTGTGTCTCTCTTTGCAGCAGATAGCTCCCTGGAACGCAGCTAACAGGTGGGCAAGCAGCCTTGAGGACTAGCTCCTTATGGGGGCTGTTAGGATATAGTTCTGTTCCACCTTAAAAGGTCCATGACTGTTGTGTGTCACATGCCTGTTTACATTTCCAGCACAGTCTGCTGGGAACTTCGTTTGTATATTGCTTTTGCTATTGCTGTTTTGTTGGACACGAAGGGAAGCAGACATGTTTTTCCTTTGTTCCTGAACTATGCTGAATAAACACCTGTAAATAATGCTTACACACGTCTCTGTCTGCCACTTCCGTTGTGAGGATTTGAAAGGGAAAAACTGGGATCCTCCTGGCATTCTCCGTGGGTGGTGAAAAACTGCAGAAAGGAACCCTCTTTTGTGACCTCTGGGGTCCCATCCATGTGGGAAGTCGGTGTGTGCCAATGAATATTTCTTGTTACTTGGTTGTGCTTGGGCAGGGGCGAACGAATACGTTGTGACACCCGGGGCGGGGCATCACTATGTAGGGCGCACGTGCGGTGTCGCTACGTATGACGCATGCACCGTACATAGCAATGCCGCATATGTGCTGTACATAGCGGTTTGCCGGCGGCGCTGCTCCAGCGCTGTACAGATGGTGCTGGGATCTTCTGCTCAAGTGGCGCCAGTGGCAAACCGCTATGTGCAGCGCATGTGCAGCATCGTTATGTACAGCGCATGTGTGCAACAGCGCACATGCGCTGTACATAGCGGTTTGGTGGCGGCAGCAGGATCCTCTGCTCGCGGCTGCAGAGAAACAGTTTCTATCCAAATGCGATTTTGGTTTAAATGCAGTGTAAGGTAGTCTCTATGGGAGTATATTGTATTTAATTATGGGGTGTCGAGTTTTAAGGGGGCTAACCAGGCTGGGACAGGTGGGAAAGCAGGCTTGTTGGTTTTTGAATGTCTGATGTAGATTTTTTCAATTTCGTTGTTCCGTATGGGACAATGATAATAAAGATTATCATATCGTAGATTATCGTATTGTATCCTCCACATGCGGCTGTGACAGAGTGATGGCTGCTCACGCCACCGCGAGCCCCCACGGGGTTCTTATCACCCCCCCAACATGGCACCTGGGGCGCACTGCCCCCCCCCCATTGTGATGCCACTGTGCTTGGGGGCTTACCTTTGGGACATGTGGCTGAAAGTCCCCCATCCAGCGTTTCCCAGAATTTACCATCTCAAGAACATCTAAGCCCTCCCTTTCCTCCAGACCTTGAACTGTCTAATTTTTTTTGGAGAGGGAAGGGGACTTAGAAAGGGGTCCCCTTTTCTCCTCCGTGACCTCAACTCTCCCCGCCTCTCCGCAGCCATCATCATCGTCTTTGACCTGAACGACGTGGCATCCCTGGGCCACACCAGGTGAGTTACCTGTCGAGTTCGCCGTCCCCAGCTGGCATCAAAGCTGTGCTGTCAACAGGGTGTGCGTGCATGGCTGTGAGTTGTGCTGGATCAAGTCCCTGACTCAACATTGATTCCAGAACCAGATTGCACCCATGTGACCCTACTGCGACTCCTGCATTGCGGGGGCTGGACTCGATGACGTTTTGGGGCTCCCTCACACCTCTGTGTGCAACGTCAAGAAATTAAAACAACCCCCTTCATTTTGGTACCTTTGACGCTTTGTGGGGAGGTCAGGGCCCCTCTCGGCCTCTATCCTACCTCACAAGGTTGTTGTGAGGATAAAACAGGGAGGAGCAGAACTCTGCACGCCCCCTGGAGCTCCTTGGATATCAACACGATAGAAAGATACTACACTTGATTTTAGCCAAAAGGCTGAGAAGCGAGAGTCAGAGGTCATACATTTTCTTTTACTGGGGAATGATCAGGAGCTCACCAGGTTAGTGGCTAAATATCTCTACAGTGGTGCCCCGCAAGACGAATGCCTCGCAAGACGAAAAACTCGTTAGACGAAAGAGTTTTCCGTTTTTTGAGTCGTTCCGCAAGACGAATTTCCCTATGGGCTTGCTTCGCAAGACGAAACGTCTTGCGAGTTCTTGCGAGTTTGTTTCCTTTTTCTTAAAGCCGCTAAGCCGTTAATAGCCGCTAAGCCGCTAAGCAGCTAATAGCCGTGCTTCGCAAGACGAAAAAACCGCAAGACGAAGAGACTCGCGGAACGGATTAATTTCGTCTTGCGAGGCACCACTGTATTTGGTTTTTTGTTGTCGAAATACACTGCAGACGTCTGATCTCCCTGGAGACCCAAGAGTTGTGACGATAGACTGCTCTGCCTCCTTTCTTTTAGCAAATGTTTTGTGCCACTGGGGAAGTGGTAATTCTGTATTGATTTGTTTTGGATGTTGTATGTGATGCCAATAAAAGGTTTGATGATGATGATAGATAGATAAATAGATAGATAAGGAAATAAATAATAGCAGCAGTGATAAATTCCACTCCTGGATTTCTCTCTCTGCTCACTCTGTTCCAGGCAGTGGCTGGCTGATGCCCTGAAGGAGAATGACCCTTCTAGCGCCATTCTCTTCCTCGTCGGCACCAAGAAGGATCTCAGCGTAAGTTGGGGAGAAAAAGAGAGAGGGAGACAGAGGGTGGGCTGTATCCTGCCTGCCCCACCTCCCTGCAGGACCCTCTGCCTTGTTCAGAAGGCATCTCCTGCGAATTCCGTTCAGGGCTCATTCATTGAAGGTGCACAAAGCCCTCCCTCCTCCAACCACTGGCCCTCCAGCCCAGGATCATTTGCATGGCACGGGGTTGGGCTGGATGACCCCTGGAGGCCCCTTCCACAATTCCGTGATGCCCTGGGGGATGAGGCTACTGATTTATGGAGGTTCTTCATGAGGGCTTACAGGGAACAGGCACAGCCAAAACTCCTTCTACCTGCCCCCTGACTTGCCACTCCCCTGCTTTGCTTCCAGGATGATCCTGGCAACTTGATCGAAACCTGGATCCCGTTGGATCAGCCCAGTTCAGGATCCAGCCAAATCTAGCCTGGTTATTTATCATTAAGGGGGCAAGGAAAGAGGACACTTCCACAAACCTTATACTCTCTCAGCCACAGCACCATCTTTGTGATTGGTGCTTTGCAAGGGGGTAGCTCTCTGCCCCAAGCAGCTTCCAATCTGAAACTCACCCTGGAGGGAAGTGGAGGCAGGGAAGAAGCGCTTCTAGCTGGGTTCCTGGAGCTCCTGCCGCTGTCCTTCCTTCCTCCTGAGCCCTTCCCTTCCCTCTCACAGTCTCCGGCGCAGTACAGCCTCATCGAGAGGGAAGCTCTCAAGGTGGCCAAGGAAATGGAGGCTGAATATTGGGCTGTCTCCTCGCTCACAGGTAAGCTTCTCTTTTGCACAGCGACTCTGTTCTCGGTCGAAATGCTTCCGAGTACCTGTGGCTGGAGGCTGCAGGAGGGGAGAGTTGCCCTTGTGCTCGAATAAACCATAATAAACCTCCTCCTTCGTGTGCCTCCTCCTCAAGCGGTCCGGAGGGTGGCAACGCGAGAACGGGGCCATCTTTGCAGTGGCTCCCCGACTGTGGAATGCTCTCCCCAGGGAAGTTCGCTTGGCACCTTCATTATATAGACATACCTCAGATTACAGACGCTTCAGGTTGCATTTTTTTGGGGTGCGGACCGCTGAAACCCGGAAGTACCAGAACGGTTTACTTCTGGGTTTCGGCAGTCGCGCATGCGCAAAAGTGCTAAACCGTGCTTTGCGCATGCACAGAAGCGCCAATTTGCAACCGGCGCATGCACAGAAGCGCCGCTGCGGGTTGCGAATGTGCATCCTGCATGGATCACGTTCGCGACCCGAATGTCCACTGTACACCTTTAGTTGCCAGGAAAAAAGTTCCTTTTTAACCAGGCCTTTGGTTGATCTGATTGACATCCTATACCCTTTAAAAATGTGGCTCTTTTGCAGGGCGGTGTTTTTGTTTGGATTTCATATATTGTGATTTTTTCTGTGAACCGCCCTGAGACCTCCAGGTTTAGGGTGGTATATAAATTCAATAAATAATAATAATAATTAAAAACAAAACAAAACACCTGGCTGGCCCATGTGAGAACAGGAGGCTGGACTAGAAGGGCCACAGGCCTGATCCAGCAGGAGGGTATATTTCTGAATGCAGTGTCTGGTTAACCTGCGGAACTCACTTCCACAGGAGACAATGATGGCCACCAACTTAACGGGCTTTAAAAGAGGATTAGGCAAATTTATGGAGGAGGAGAGGGCGGTCTATGGTATTTAAGGAAACGGTATCACCCCCCGCACCCCCCTCCCCACAGGTGAGAATGTGCGGGAATTCTTTTTCCGGGTTGCAGCGCTGACCTTCGAGGGCAGCGTGATGGCGGAGCTGGAGAGGAGCAGCGCAAGAAGGATTGGCGACGTCGTGCGTAAGTGTATCCCTCGCCACATGTGTCCAGCTGGCCCCATAGCGGGCGGGAACTTCAAACAGGCCCCCACCCCCCAGTTTCCACAGAGGCAGCCCCACTTCTGCCTCAGAACCGGCTTGGTGCTGTCCGGACCTTTGTAAACGGAACTGTGTATATTCAACACTTTAAAAACCCCAAAGCATGGTGCAGAATTTCGGTATAAATTCTGCCCTGGGAAAAAGCCACATCCTTCCGCCAGCAAAAGTTCTGCAAGCAGAGCAGATCTCCACCGACTGTTGCAAAAGTCCTTGCACTGCCCGTCTTGTTTTCGTTCCCTGCGTTTTAATAGATTGGTTCATTCTGTTTTGGTTCTGTTTTTGCATTTTGTCTGCCTTGCTTTAATTTGTCTGAGCTGCCTTGAGCCGCAGTCCAGGGGAAAATAAATAAATCTAATGATAATTAGATTTGCAAAATTTACTGTGCTCAAATATAATTTGTAGAGGTGCTTCTGCTGTGCTTTTTTTGGTTCATTGAAGTTATTCTGTTTTTAGAGCTGCTGTGCTGTGCTGCTGCTGCTGTTTTTTAATCTTTGAGGGCTCCGTGCTATAAAGCAGCTTCTAAGCTTGTTAAATAATAATGTTTTAATTTTTAGTGTATTTCTTTGTATCCTGCTTTTTCCCCAAGCAGGAACTCAAGGCAGCTTACACAAAGCAAAACAACACAGACAGGATATAAAAAACTGAAAAGATCTATAAGCTAATCATTAAGATAATAGCAATACCTCTCAAGTCCCCTCTCTGGCACGGCCCACCATGTTTCTCACTGCATCTTCATAAGGACTAGAAACTTGTTTGCTTCATAGAGACTGAGGATTCTTGGGAAGCTTCCCTGTTTTGTGGTATTTCAATACACAACTCTGCTGATGGATGGTGACAGGCAGAGTTTAGCCAATGAGAATGGGATGGGGGCGGGCTCCGTGTCGCCAAGGTTACGGCTGCCTCTTCCCAGCGATCCACAGTTCTGCAAGCCAAGCAAAATTGTGTGATTTGCCGCAAAGTTTATTTGCACTGCACATCGGCAGGTATTTTTTTATTTTTTATTAAATAATTGGTAAAGATGGGTTAGTTTTCAGGGTTTGTTGCAAAGCTTAGAGCTTGTGCATTTGTTTTGTTTTTATCCTGCACATTTTGCCTGTACCTTCACAAGGACTAGAAACTTGTTTTGCTCATAGAGGCTGAGGTTTTCCAGGATTTTTCGCTCTGCCTCTTTCAGGGATCCACAGCGACGAGCGGGACCTTTACCTGACCGAGAAGCGTCGGAGAGCGAAATGTTGCCAGTGACGCAAGTTGGGGGAAGGAATTTCACCGGCCTGAACATTTGCACTGAACTTATTTCTATACCAAAGAAAAGTGTTGCTGTTTTTTAATGATTTTTTTTAAAAGAAAAGAACAGATTGCCTCATATATAGGACCATCACAAGCTGCTTTGTACTAAGTCGAGCCATCGCTCCATCTAGCTCAGAATTGTCTGCACTGACCGGTAGCAGTGGCTCTCTGGGATTTGAGGCAGAAGACCCCCCCTGCCCCACCTGGGCTTGCTGCTGCGGACTGAGCCTGGGATCGTTTTCCATGCAGAAAGCAGGTGCTCTAACCACTGAGCAGTATGTCATTCCTGCATTGGAAAGGGTTAGACTAGATGTCTCATGGAGCTCCCTTCCAACTCTACAATTGATCCTCTTCCCTGGGTGAAGCTGATCTGTTTTTCTGCCCCCAGAGCTCTCCCACCCCCAAATATTTCTGCCCTCTTGGCTTCTTGTGGGGCAGCCCTGGAAGAGAATAATCTGACGTTTCTACATTCATTTCTACATTCCATGGGTTCCTTCGCCACAACCGTTTCCTGTTGGTGACATCAATTCCTGTGCCAGGACATGTAAGATAGTGCCCTGGTTCTGGTGTCATGAGACATGTCCCACCCCATTGGGCACAAAGACCCCCTTGTCCCCCCCCCCCAAAAAACCCTATTTCAGACAGCAATCATTAACCAACGCACCTCTGGTCTCTCGGTACGAATCGCATTCGGTCATAATAAAAGTTGAAATGTTGTGCTTTTTCTAACTGTTGCCTTGAATGTGCGTTGATGGGGTTGGCCAGCAGCGGGGTGTCATTTCAGCCTGGGGGGCACATTTCCTTGTGGGGGACTTCCTGGGGGCCAAGGGCAGGCCCTGGGGCAAAGAGTGCTTGGGCCCCAAGGAATGTGATGGAGTCTCACAGCAGCCAAATGCCCCCTAGGAACCTACCAATCAAGATAGACTACCTCTGAACCTGGAGGTTCCTTAGGGACGTCAGTGGAGTCCACTGGATCAGGCCAGGGGCCCATCTAGCCCAGCATCCTGTTCCCACAGTGGCCAACCAGATGCCTCAAAGGGAAACCAACAAGCGAGATTCGAACCCAAGAGCAGCACTCTCCCCTCCCCTGGTTTCAGAAGAATTGCTGCCTCCAGTAGCCATCGAAAGCCCTCTCCTCCTCCATGAATTTGTCCAATCTTCTTTGGAAGCCATCTAGTTTGGTGGCCATGCCTGCCTCCTGTGGCAGGGAGTTCCACAGTCTAACCCTGTGCTGTGTGAAAGGGCTGAACCACTCCTGAACCTTCCAACGAGAACAGGTGTGACTAACTTAGGTCCAGTGTGTCTTTGGGTAGAACTTGGCTGGGCACAACCCCACCATATTGTCCAATACTTAATTTCATGTTTCGCTGCTAGGAGGGAGAACTGTGGTCCTCCAGGCATCTCTGTGTGGCCCCAGGACCATGCAGGGGGTTGGACTAGATGACCCTTGGTGTCCCTTCCAGCGCTACAATTCCATAACACCCTCCTCTCCCCACAACATTCCCCTCTCCTCTCTGCACCTCAGGTCCTCCACCCAAGACCTCAGTGTTTGTTTTTTTAATGCAACGTGGAGCACTTCGTACATCAACGCTATCAAAGTTTAGCCGCGATTACAGTGGGTTGGGATGGATGACCCTTGGGGTCCCTCCGAACTCGGATTCTAAGTTTCACCGATTCAGCGGGTGGTTTATTAACTACACTGGGGCAGAAGAACACGGAGAAGGAACATTTTTTCTGATGGAGTGCCAGATAAGCTGGAAGGCACGCAGGCAAGATTCCCAAACTGGTCTGGAGTTATGAGCTTGCAAGATCCCGGAGGTTAATGGCCCGGGAAGCAGGCGGAGTTTGCCACTATTGGGACGCCACGGGCCTCTGCGGGACGCCTTGGGGGCCGTGCATATACCTGTGCGCCTTCCTCCCTACTGCGGTCCTTGGTTGGGGTTGAAGGCCTGGAAGGAGTCCAGCTGGTGAGCGTTGAACTGGGGCATCAGTTTGGGGGGCACACAATGCGCCCACTTGTAGTGGTCTTTCAGCCAGAGCCCGCCCTCGCTGTCCTCCACGCAGATGGCGGCGATGCCTGCAGGCAAGGTTGGGGGAAAGGCAGCGATCACCGACAGCTTCAGAGCCAGGGTAGACTGCTCCTGCAGCTGGAGGCTCCACCAACCTCTATCGCTGCTAGGAATGCCAAGGGGGCCGAGCCCGGCCGCCTGCTCACCGACCCACCTGCCACTAGGCCGCCTTGTTCCTCCACCAGGCGGATGGCACTCCGCATCGTCCCCCCGGTCTCGACCCACTGGTCCACCAGCAAGATGCGAAGGCCTGGTCAGAAAGGGGGCAGAGGGCAAGGTGGGGTTAGTGTGCCAAGTTCCGCCCCACCCCGTTCCTTACCTGAGAGGTTAAAAAAATATATGTGGATCTGGAGCAATAGCTAGGAAACCTCAGTGCTGGATCAGGCCCAAGGGGGCCCAAGCGTAGGGTTGCCACATGGCAAAAAGAGCATCTTGGGGAAATTTTGGGAAACCGGCAAAACATCCGGGATTTTGAGGTTGATTGCCAACAACTTTTGAGTTTCATTTCCCAGAAAAAGCTCCGATACTTTGCGTTTGCTGAAAAAACATCTTTTGCATCCTGAGTTTTTACTTCTAGAAATATGGCAACCCTGCCCAATGGGAAGCCCACAAGCTGGTCCTGAGCACAGTTCTCCAGTGCCTGTATTCACAGGTAGACTGCTGCTAGACATGGAGGTTCTGCAATCACAATAGACCTCCATAAGAAGAATCCGGATGGATCAGTCCAGCCTCCTGTTCTCACAGGGGCCAACCTGCAGTTTCTAGCAACTGGTATCCAGAGGGGTTTCCGCCTCTGACAGGGGAGATAAAACCTACTTATTAGCCATTTTTAGCATTCACCTCCATTAATTTGTATTTATAAGTGCAGCAGAAGATCCTGCCCACAGGCAGGAACTCAGGGCAACTGCAAAACTCTTCCCTCCTGCGCCCGCAAAGGCATTTACTGCCTCTGATGGAGGAGGGCGTAGATGGACCCCCGCTCCTGTCAATTCCAGTGGCCAGAAAGCTCAATGGTTAGTGGTGATGGGTACCCAGCCCTGACCCTGTCTCTGCGTGTGTAGACATCAGTTCCTTTGGGGAGGGAGAACTGAACAAGGGGAAATTCTTATTCTTATTATTTCAGGAAGTTTTAAATGTTTGACGTTGAATTATGTTTTTATATGTACTGGAAGCCGCCCAGAGTGACTGGGGAAACCCAGCCAGATGGGTGGGGATATAAATAATAAAATTATTATTATTATCTCTGCTCACCTGGCGAGATGGCGTCAGCCCGCATCTCCATCACCTTCTCACGAGCCTGGTAGTCCTTGTAAGGCTTCGAGAGAGTTTTCACGCACAGGTGCCCAGCTTTGCGTATGGCCAAAAAGCCCTTCTGGAGGGTGTGGGCGATGGCAGCGCCTGAGGGCGAGATGAGAAGGGCAAAGGGGTGCCCCCATGAATCGTGAGTTGCCACGCCATGCCCTCCCTAACCCCAGCCCCAAATCGATTCATTTTGTTTTCACCAAACTTATCCCCAGGATTCAACCCTGCTTGGAAAATATTCCAGCGTCCTTTGCCATCATATTGAGAATGCAAAATGAAATAATAAAATTTAAAAATTCCTTCCAGTAGCACCTTAGAGACCAACTAAGTTAGTTATTGGTTCCAGGAGTCCTCTCTCCTCCTGTAGTTTCCAGCAACTGATTTTCAGAAGCATTATTCCCTTTGACTGTGGAGGCAGAGCGCAGCCATTGCGGCTAGGAGCCATCGATAGGAGCCTCTCCTCCTCCTCCGTGGCTTTGCCCAATGCACTTTTAAAGCAATCCAGGTCAGTGGCCATCCCTGTGGCAGGGAGTTCCACAGCTGAACTCTCCACTGCATCTCTATCCCTTGGATCGCTTCTGCGTTGCTCTTTGCTCTCCGGCCAAGCCGAGCCCCCGACTCACCTAGGATGAAGCCCATTGCGTCAATGCCGGCAACCAGGTCGATGGGGTCGCCCTGAAAGGTTTGCAGGAGATCTTCCACGCAGTCCTGCAAGGCCTGGCGAGATCAGAGAGGAAAGGAGAGTGACTGGGGAAGAGTCAAGGAGGTCACAAGGCTTCCCTTCTAATGGAAGCTTCCAGCTGCCATTGTAATTCTGTGTATTCCCAATATCAATGTGTATCATTAATCTCTATTATTACTATATCCCTAAAGATGAGGTCGGAGTCTTTTTATACGCAACAGCGGCCGCAAGAGTACTTGTGGCCAAAAACTGGAAGAGCGAGGAGACTCCCTCAATGTCAGAGTGGCAAATTAAATTCTGCGAATATATTGAACAAGCCAAGATGACAGCGTCAGTTAGAATGCGATCAAAACAAGAATTAAGAAAGGAATGGTAGTGTAAATCTTTGGATAAGTACTGATTGAGTTCATTAAGCTAAGATGCAATGATTCTAGAACAGAGGATTGATTAATGTGATGAATAAATATGAACACAACAACAGAGTTTTAATGTAGCGAGAAGGACATCGTGCAAGTGGGTGAGGGAAATCACATGGATATTTGGATAAAAGGTGAATGGGGTACAGGGTTAGATGTGGGGAATCCGTATATTTAATATATGTTATGTACAGTGCTGAAATTGTACGGTAACTAACGTGTAATATGAATTTAATAAATAAATAAAGATGGCAGGACATCTCTACTTTTACGGTACTATTTTGTTGTTGTTAATGTGTGTATGTAATTTTTTCATTTATTCTGGGAGCCTTTTTTCCCCAGCAGCTCCATGGTAAATCTAGCAATGGGAATTTCTCCACTGCCTGCTTTCCCTTGATGCCCTAAGCCAGGGGCCAGCAACCTTTTTCAGCCGTGGGCTGGTCCACTGTCCCTCAGACCTTGTGGGGGGCCGGACTATATTTTGGAAAAAAGAATAATGAACGAATTCCTATGCCCCACAAATAACCCAGAGATGCATTTTAAATAAAAGGGCACTTTCTACTCATGTAAAAACATGCTGATTCCTGGACCGTCTGCAGGCCGGATTGAGAAGGTGATTGGGCCAGATCCAGCCCCCAGGCCTTAGTTTGCCTACCCCTGCCCTAAGCACAGGCTTATTTTGTTTAATGGTTAACCCGGCCCTGACAACAGCACAGCCCTGTGAGGTAGGTTAGGCTGAGGGTCACACCCAGGGAGAGTTTCATGGCTGAGTGGGGATTTGACCCCTGGTCCGTCCCAGGATAACGCTCTAACCACTACACCGCACTGCCTCTTATCTTCTCCTATCTCCCACCTGAGAAAAGCCCGGTTCCACACCAGGCTCTCACCTTACAAAAAGCTACTTCTGTCCATTCACTCCCACTCCCCACTGTAATGCACCGCCTCAACTCCTTATCACAGAATCTGTAGAGTTGGAAAGGGACCTGTGGGTCATCTAGTCCAACCCCACAGCACAATGCGGGGCTCAAACCTGCAACCCTGAGATTAAGAGTCTCCTGCTCTACTGACTGAGCTATCCTGCGGTCCATCAGATACCTGGGGGTGGCAGTAGAGGCGGGAGGGGTCCAGCCAGGCGAAGCTGGGGCCTTTGACGTTGGGGGCCATCAGCCCCAAATACCAGCCCTGCTCTCGTGGGTCAGGGACGTGTTTCAGATCCATGGAGACGTGGTTAGGGTCAGCAGATGGAGGAGAAGCTGTAACGGAAGGTGGGTGGGTTGGGGGCTGGAGAAGAATACATGCAAAGAGATGCTTTCTATCGCAAGGTTCCTCGAGAGTCACCAGGAATCTTGCACCAATTGGAGCAGACTCTTCCACATTTCCTTGTGAACTGCCTTTCCAGAGTTAAACCATGTGTCGAAAAGGCTTCGCAGTTCCCTCTAACGGCTGCAAATGCACATTTAAGCATCGCTGAGGGCATCTCAGTAAGTCAATAATAATAATAATAATAATAATAATAATAATAATAATTTTATTTATACCCCACCCTCCCCAGCCAAGACCGGGCTCAGGGCGGCTAACACCAGATATAAAACAATTGATTGAAATACAACTTAAAAAACAAGATTAATACAAAATACAACAGAATAAAACGATCCCCGCCCAGGGAAGTCTAACAATAAAGGGATGGAACTGACCTTCACGAGGACTAGAATATTTCTTGCTAGGAGTATCTGCTTTGCATGCAGAAGGCTCCACATCTCCAAGTCTGCACAGCTGCCTGAAACCCTGGAGAGCTTCTGCCAGTCAGTGCGAACAATATGGGGCTAGACAGACCCAACACTCTGACTCACTCTGGGGCAGCTTCCTATTTCTTTTTTGGGGGAAAGTGACCATTATGCAGAAACACGATGACTAGAATATTTCTTTTGGGGGCTCAATGGCAGAACAAGAGGTCCACATTCTGGCTCAGGGCTCTAATCACCAGCTTATTGAGCAATTCATCCTGATTTGCTTGTGGGGACGTTGCAGCAAAACAAGAGTTACTTATTTATTTCTTAATAGTTACCTATCAGTTTATTGGGGGGGGGACCCTCAGAGCAGTTTACAAAAGAGCTAAAACGATAACATCAAGTTGATGGACAGTGCCGAAATGGCAAAATTAACTGGGAATCAAGAAGACAAGAAATTTTTTTAAAAGAATGGGAAATGTTTATAATGTATATACAAAATAATTGTAAACAGGTCAAAACATTAACAGGATTTTAAATACACTTGTAATGTAACAGAATGTATAGATAACTTAGGAAGATGAAAAATTGGAGAAGTATTGATAAGCAGTTGAAAATAGAATCAAAAGGACCGATGGAGGGAATGGAAGGGGGGGGGAGTCAGGAGATTCAGAGTAATCTCGATATTTGGATTTTGTACTGCTTTTTGATGTATGTATGTACATTTATTCATATATATTTGAAAATCAAATACAAAGATTATTTTAAAAATACTGGAAAAAACCAATAGCATTATAAATCAGAAAAATTAACAGCAACAACAATAATTTAAAGCTTTCGTAAAGTTAAAATAACAGTAGACTGAAAAGAGATTCAGACTTGCCTCAACTTTCTAAACAGCTGGGTAGTCTTGTCTGAAGAAAAGTAGTTTTAGCAGGCTTAGCCAAAAAGAGGATGGTGAAAAGGTATCAACAGGCAGGGAGTTCCAAAGGTTAGGTGCTGCCACAGAATTGTGGAGTTGGAAGGGGGGTCATCTAGCCCAACCCCCTAAAATGCAGGAACTTTCGGCCCAACATGGGGCTCGAACCCGTGACCCCGAGGTGAAGTGTCCCCTGCACTGCCGACGACAGCACTATCCCAGCAGAGTTATCGCACCCTTCCCAGCCTGTCACGCCCGATCCCTTTCCTTCCTCCTTGCAAAAACAGTCCAATCTTTCCAGGGAAGTGAAATGGTTGTGCAAGAACCCCACCCGTCCCCAAACCGCCCTAGAATCCCTCCACCTGAATTTGCTGGGATGAGCTTGAATCCTGCGTGGAAACAGCAACAGTCTGGAAGTTTGGCGTGGATTTCTTAAAGGAGGAATCGAATGTGGGCTGGATCCTGTTCCGTCCTTGCCTGTGGGTCTCTGCTCTCCGAAATAAATACATAAATGCCCACCCCAATAGACCCAACATTTCCCAAACATCAGAGGCAGCCCCAGAATTTCCCTGGGGGGAGAAAACACCCCACAGCACACTACTTCCCATTCCCCCATGTGGCGTGCCCAGTACCTGGGAGAGGAGATCGGATCTTTGCCTCTTCCCAGGCCTCTTCCAGGCAGACGGACACTCAGGAGGTGCTTTTTCCTGGGAGGCCAAAGGTGCTACTGGATCCAAGCAGAGGGACGGAGGGAGGGCCTTGGGCCACGGACAGTGACAGCTGGGGAAGCCCAGCCCTTGCCTGGCCAAGGTCCAGACTCCAGGGCCAGCTCTGGCCTCACAGTTAAAGCTATTCACAATTCATTCACCACGAGGAGCCCAGGAGGGGGAGAAAACAACAAGGGAGGTCCAGAGAAGCAGCGGAACAGGAGTAGGGCTCAATCCAGTTCGTTGGGAGGCTTGCAACAAACGCACTTTCCTCAAAAGATCAGACTTCTTTGTGATAAGGAAAAGCAGCAGATAAATGCTGCCAGCCAGTGTTGGCAGCATGGAGCTAGTTGGAGCAATGCTTTGGCTCAGGAGAAGGCAGTGCCCCATGCCCCAGAGGAAACCCACCAGCTGGTTTCCTCGTTTAGGATGTGGGGCAAATCCTGCTTCAGCAAGGCTGAAGTCATCCAAAGTCTTGTGTCTAGATTAAGGGAAGTGATAAAGGTAAAGGTAAAAGGACCCCTGACCATTAGGTCCAGTCGTGACCGACTCTGGGGTTGCGGTGCCCATCTCGCT